TTGCACGGAAGTGCAACTTGAGATCTATAATATATATAAACATAATGATTTTTTGTAATCACGAAGATATATATAAATCTATTCCAGTGCAATAGAGTAAAATAATTGTGTTATTAACTTAAAAATTGAATTTACTAGTAATTAAATTTTATCTTGTACAATAAGTTTAAAATTTACTTCTTAAAATCAATATTTAAAAAAATTAACTTTCTTAAATATATCATTAAATATGTCAACATAATATGAAGGGCGCAATGTAAGATCGTCATAGAAAAAATTAATTTCAAAGTATACACCAAAACTTGTTCACAAACATTTTAATTGTAAATTAAAAAATTAAAAAAACTATCGTGCCATTCACACCTACTAGAGTTAAAGAAAAAAAAAAAAACCATTAATCAATCTTAATTACATTTTAGTGTAAATCCCGAATCCCATAATAAAAGAATAAAATAAAATGAAAGCGTGTAACCCAAAATCACTCTTCTCATGCTTAAACGCCTGATTTGTTGGCCTACCTCATGAGAAATTAGTTAATGCTCCTCATTCGTTGGCTTACTTTATGAAAAAATAGTTAATTGCTCTTGTTATTTAAAATTACATGCTTCACTTGAGGGGAAGGAGAAACTGAATGGGCGCGTGAGTGGGGGAAGGAATGCATTTTTGCAGAAGTCCAATCTACATCGTCTCTTTTTCTCTTAACATTCTCTTCTCTTCTGCCCTATGAAGGAGACAAAGCTAGCTGAAACTGATTCTACTGTTCAGAAGGCTGAAGATATGGTCAGCACAATGCTTGCAAAGGGCTTTGTCTTGGGAAAGGATGCCATCAACAAGGCGAAGGTTTTTGACGAGCAGCACAAATTGACCTCAAATCCATCGGCCACGGTAGCTTCCATTGATCGTAAAATGGGTCTGAGTGAAAAGCTAAGCATCGGGACGGCTGTGGTAAATGACAAGTTGAAAGAGATGGATGAACGATTCCAAGTATCTGAAAAGACAAAGTCTGCCTTTGCCGTTTCCGAGCAGAAGGCAAGTAGTGCAGGATCTGTCATAATGAGCAATCGTTATGTATCTGCTGGAGCTTTGTGGTTTTCAAATGCATTTAGTGCAGTTGCAAAGGCAGCAGAAGATGTTGGTGTGATGACCAAGGAGAAGGTTGAAAAGGCTGAGGAGGACAAGCTGTAATATCTTTACAGGGAGAGAACAGCGATTATTAAGGACTTTGCGCATATCCATCTCGATGAATCTTCATCAGCAGAGCCTGCTATTATTCCTGTTTATTCAGCTGACACCAAGATGTTATGCACTAATTAATGATTTTGCATGAGAAGAGTACTAAAGGAGAGGACTTGCCTCAATAGCCATTTATATAGTTATTTTCTTATAAGTTGCTATAAGGATGCTACTAGCCCACCCTTAACGCTATATTCTTCCAATTCAGTTATTGTGGTATAATAGCAATAGCTGAGATACCATCCACATCATTTGGAATATAAATTCGTAACTTAACATAATTTCAACTACATAGAGAACCCAATTGCATGTTCATATAGCTTAGTTGCAGATGTCCCTTCATCACCTGCTACCCAGGGAGGATTCAAGGGGCTCGGGAACCAGGTGTGATATCAACCACAGAGATCATGAAATCAAGCAAACCATTCCAGAACATTAACATATGTGAGTGTCATCATGTTTAACAGATGCTACCTATAGAGTTCCATGAATCTGGAATGGCAGCATGACAGAGTTTTGTATAAAAAACTTGCCACCAAATGATCAAATGGCATGATAACTGGTTATGAGAAAGATTTATAAGAAAATCTTTGTCCTTATGTGACAGATTGATATGAAAATGTTTGTCCCTGAAATTGACAGAGTTCCGAGTCTTCACTAGTGGATTCAAAATCTTTACTACAAGCAATAATAATACTTCACTACTTTAATACTAATGACCTTCTGCCGCTGCTATATAACTGGTTTATTGTTGTTGACCAAAAGCTAAAGGGCAGTCATTAGAAGTCTAAAAATGCTTATATATAATGGTCAATCATGGTTGAAGCACTGTTGTTAATAGCACCAATGAAATTTATTTCTAATATCTTTGTTCCTCACATCGGAAACATTGATTGTCCAATTTGGTGTAATAGTTGAATGTGGAACTGCTTCAAGATTCTGATCAGTGTGGTCCTTGAGGTCCTGCACATGCAATTCTCAATTAGGTGTCCCTCAGGTTAGCAGTAACATAGGAAAGCATAGAACATCCAGCAGGCAAAAGGTCATTTAATGCTGTATAAAAAGGAAAAAATGTAGTTAGATATCTGGCCAAGATTGTTAGACCTGACATGGTAATCAAATTAAAAAAGTGAGATAAACTTAACATGCAGATAGAAGACCAGAGATGGCGGCAGTGAATATTAAGAAGAAATATTTACTGCAATTGCACACATCAAGCAGGATTCAGGAAGCATAATACCAACTTTTGAGAACCCTTTTTCAGAATAACTAAAAGAGTAAAAGTTCACCATCTTATTTATTTCATGACATGCATGATGGAGATTCAAAGATGATACCACCAACCTAACTAGAGTCCTAGGCAGTCATTTTTTGTGCCACTAACAATGTTATAAACTGATTTCCTAATTCTGAGGTGCAGTGTGGACAATTTTATTTCCTTTCCTCTCAAATCTCTTAATCACCATTCTTGTCCTTTAAAAGAAATGACCCAGCTCAGAAAAAAATAATAATAATAACAATAACAATGGGGAAAAAAAAAATAGAGGAGAGAAGGAAACCTAAAAGGAGGAAACATATGGATGAAAAATAAACAAATAAACATGTAATTGGCAAACCATGTTTGATACAATTAAACAGTAAATTGAAAGCACAAATAATGGAAACATACATACATAAAATACACACGTCTGATGAAAGCAAAAATCTATATTCCTACTATTATGAATATATGAAGTTGGTTTTACTAAAACCGTAGCTAATCTCTACAAGTGTGTTAGTCTTGACTATAGTAGATCGTTTCATTCATGGCATTTCAATTGCAGAAAACCAAAGACCTACAGTGGAATGCCAAATAACTAAATAACACCAAAAAGCTTACATGGGTTTACCATAAAAGTAACTAACTGAATCTTTCTATTTCCACTTTCTTTCAGAGATTAACCCAGAAAGCCAAGAATTTGCAATTGATTAAAAAAAAAGTCTGTTCTTAGGGTCCCAAAGACAAATTTAATCTGGGGATTAAAAGTTGTTTATATTTCCCAGCAACTCAACTCATAATCTACTTTCCAAAAAGCATATTACTTTAAACAAGAAGAATGCACAAAAACCTTGCATGAAACACATTGGATCTAACTTGTAAACGAGAATTTATATTGACCAGTCAATACCCAGTAAGATCAAAATAAAAGGAAACAAAATTAAAGAATGCAACTCACCGACATTTCAATAATGTAGAAGGAATTCCCAAGAAGAAGATAAATACCAAGTAAATGGAGTGTGTGTCGGGGATGCAGAGGAGGGGAAATGGAAGATAATTGGAGATGTAAGAGAGCCGAGAGACTAGGGACAAAAATGTCTTTGCAGAATGTGAGGTTGGATTGGCGCCTTAATTGCCGGAAGCGCGTCGGTTGGTCTTTTTTTTTTTCCTAAAGTCCCTGAACTACTCAATTGAATATACATAAGTCCAATTCAAAACATCATACCATATTTACTCTGGCATTTTTAGTTAGATATTATTTATATCAATTTATATTTAATTTTAAATTAAAAATTTATAAAAAAAAATTAATTAGAAAATGCTGAAACCAAAGTCCAACACTCCAAAAGGCAAAAGTAATAAATGGAATGTTAGAAATTTTCAATTTGTGTGAGTTTTCATTAATTGTAGATTTTGATTTAATTAAAATAGTGACAAAATTGATTCAAAATAATAATAAGATAGAGTGTGTAAGACCCTAAATTGTGATTAGTTTATGTGGGCCATAAATATCTCATTTAGAGTGAATGTGAGATCAGCTAGTTTTGACCCAAACTCAATAGGCTTTGCCTGAGGAAGACCATTAAAGTTGCACACTGTGTATAAATGGCTAGGTCTCATATTCATGTATCTACTCATTAAGAGTCGAATTTGAAAGTAGTCGGTAGAGAGGAAGCATCAGGAAATTCTTAACATAGTGATCTTACAAACTCTATTGCTTCTTCAATTGCATTATCAGGCACTCTCTCTATTTAATTATATTATTTTTAGTGTCTTGAATTTACATATGTAAATCCTATTGTTTCTACATATGCTATCAGAGCAATTGCATGTGAATTTGGGATCCAAAATCGATTTTCAATCTGTTGACTATTTGTTAAGTGATGTCGACTAGGGAAACTAAAACCCTTTTTGATCTTGTATATATATATTTTTTTTCAATAAGGAGAATTTTGGGAATAGGGGAAGATTTGGGTATAGAAACCAAGGCATAGTCGTCCTGACTCTTAACATCTAATCAAAAGAGAATAACCATTAAATCACTTAGTGTCAGACTTTTAATCCTATATTTTGTGATCCTAATGTTCAATAAATTTGATTTCAAAAATCATGTCTTTATTTATTAAATTATAATTTAATATAGTTTATTTGGGATCCATTACATTCTAACCAAGAGTTGTCCCTAATAAATATTGCAAGGATAATAAATTAATTAAACATTTGTGGCGGATCAAGACTATTATTATGTTGCAACAATTGAAGGTACACCGTCTTTCTGTACCTTGCGTGTGAGAGCTATTGGCATACATCAAGTGCAGCATGCAGAATGTTTGTAGGCAACTAGTGCGTATCTCAGCTTGAGGGGTTTTATTGATTATTTTGGATGTTTGGCTGTTGTTGTAGCTATAATTTTGATGATTACAACACACTCAAGTTAAGTTCTTAATTGGTTTATTTGAGTGTGTAATTTATGGTTGAAAGATTCTTAAAATTACATCTCTATTTATTATTATATCTCTGTTTTACCTTAATTTTTTTGTCTCCTCAATTATTTATATTAAAAATATTTTTAGTCAAAATATAAGTGGTGCAACTTGTATTACTTCTGTAGACCTTTAAATTTATATTAAAATATTTTCCATTTATATTAAAAATTGAAAGCAAATTTAACCAATATTCTGTAGACACCGATTGAGATATGCTTGTTTATCAGAGAGGGTTATGCAACAAACACTGAGCCAGGTTATGTGGGGCCTGCAGCTTTCATAAGTATTCTAATTGAAATATCAGTCATAAGTAAGCAATTAGTAACTCATAATTTCTTTTTCCGGGATTTTAGAAAGATAGATGCAGATCGTTGGGAATTTGCAAATGATGGATTTATCAGAGGTCAAAAGGATTTATTGAAGAATATCTCTAGAAGGAAACATCCTCAGGGCTCTGACCAGCATAAAGCATCGCAGCCTCAGGATAACTCTGTTGAACCACGTGAGAAAATTGAAAATGTCGGGCTGTGGAAGGAAGTTGAGAATTTGAATACTGATAAGAATGCTCTCATGTAGGAGTTAGTCAAACTTAGGCAGAACCAGGAGACTGCTGATGATAAGTTGCTTCGCCTGAAGGATCGTCTTCAAGGAATGGAAAAGAATCAGCAACAGATGCTCTCATTCTTAATCATGGCAATGCAAAGCCCAGGCTTTTTGGTTCAACTGCTTAAGCCCAAGGAAAATAACCGGCATATGACTGAAGCAGGCAATATGCTAGGTAGCACTGCAGAGGATGGTGAACCAGTAGCTTCTGATGGTATGATAGTAAGATACCAGCCACCTGTGGAGGAAGCACCAAAGCCAGTACTCAAACCAGTGACAGACTCGGAGATTCCTCCTGAATTTGATGCATCTTCTGGAGGGATGAAAGATTTTTGGATGAATATTGATTTTGTGAAAGTTCTTGTGGATGATAGTCACATACCTTTTGCTCCACCAGATTTACATGACGATGGTGCTTGGGAAAAGCTTCTTCTAGCTAACCCTTTTCTAGAGAATGGGGAAGACGAAAAGAAAGATAAAGAATGCCCCACAGACTCGGGTATGGAAGTTGAAATAACAGAGTCCGGAACGCATTTGGACAAATCTCATAATTTTGAACTTCTACTGCAAAATATGGGGAATTCTCATAACTTAGAGATTGAACCGATAGTAAATGGATCACAGTTGGAGACATCCGAGAACTTGGAACTTCTAACAGAGCAATTGGGCCATTTGACTTCTGAAAGTGACCATAGGGATGAAGTCCCTAGCAAGTAGTGTAAATTATATGGTAGTCTCTGAAACTTATTTTAACATGTTTTGATTATATATATGTATAAGAAACTAAGAAAGTGATATATCTCCATTTCATACATTCATATTTCTCAATCTATAGAGACGAAAAGGTTGGGATTTCAAATATTTTAAGAGTCCAGACTTCATATGTATTTTTTTGAAAATATATTATTTTATTTTTTATTAAAATATTTAAGTTCTAACAATTGTTCATTATTTTAATAAAAAATGAATTTTTCTTTTGAATAAAGATGGATTATTATGCATAATAAAGATAGTTAATCCTTGAATTTTTATTTAGTGAGTCAACAATGCTTAATTTAAAGTCAATAGTGAATTAAATCTTGAATTATGACTTTTTTAGAAAATACAAGAATCATATCAAACACATAATGATTTAAATGTTAAAATTTTCATACATTTAGCACCTTGTGGTCTTGTGCATGATCTTAGTTTTCATAGATGATTTAGAAAATTGTCCATCAATTTTCATAGAAGCGACCTTAACTCAACACTCACATAGATAAAATTTGTCAATGGTGCTCTCATAACTAAGTCACTTCACTCATTGAACTACAAATTTCATTAAGAGTATATAACTCAATCGTTAATTCATTATAGAATAGATGCATCATCACCTTAGGAACGGAATTGGAAATTTTTTTTATTAAATATTGATATATCTTTTAACAATGATTTCTCTATGATCCATTTTTTCCATTCAAAACTCAATTCTTAGAATTCAAGTTGAGTATTCTCATAATAAATTCTACATTATTGGGTTTGAATCCCATTTCTTTGGATGGGCACTAAACCTTTGACTATGATCATAGTTTTTCCTCAAACTTTTGTTTTTACCAAAAGCCTAATTGGCAGAATAGTGGGTAAGAAAGAGATTTAACTCATTCTTTTTCTCACTTTTTCTTTTTACATCAACTCACATGTCAACTAACTCATAAAATTTGCATTCATATTTTTACTCACTTTTTCAATGGTATCGTGATGCACTATCAATGGAGGTATTCCCTAGCTCAAGTTCCTCTTATCAGAACCCACAAAGAGTGACTAC